CTGGATTTGACTCCATTCCCCACCACTCTCTGCGCCCGGCCATCCAGCTGGTTCTTTACCCAGCAAAAAGATCTCTTGTCCAAGCCACAAGCAGCCAGTTTCTCCAGGAGAAATGGTGTCACAAATGAATCAATCAGACCTGAGAAGGGAAACAACATCCACAGCCTTTCCCTCCTCCACTAAGCAGCCTCCTTTGTCATCAAAGGAGATCTTGTTCCTCCAAAGGCCGTGGCAAGCTCTGGGCGATCAGATCACTGCCATGCCCGGCTGAAGCCTCTCCACTGCAGCCGAGGCTTGACACAACATGGAGATCTCTGCCCTGTGCTGTTTTACACAGCGGGGCTCTCAAACACCCACAGGACACAAAAGCCAGGGAACAGAATTGAAAAATCCAGGGATTTAGCTGGGATTTAGCTCCAGTGTTAGCAGAGCTGGCAGGCAGAGGGACGTTTGAAGGACTACGGCAATAGCTGGGAGGGAATTGTGCAAGGAGGTTTCTCCTGCCAAGCATGCATGGGGCTGTTCCCTGCGTGCCAGGGATTATTTCTCCACGTTAGAAACAAGGAGCCAGGCAGGTCGCTGGCACGCAGGAGCCGGTATTGCGAAATGATCGCTGGGCTGGTCAGGCTACAGGTATTTTTCGTTACAGCAAGAGGTGGAGTGAGGAAGGGAGATCGTCTGGCTGGATTTATAACTCTAAAAAAAACCTCCAACTCCGTGAAATTTAAGATATCAAAGAGCCCAAAGATCAGGACTGCAGTCAAGCCCCGGCGGTCACCGCGACGGCGGTACTCACATCAGAACGATGACCAAGAAGTTGGCGAAGGGCGGGATGGCGATAATTCCGATGGGAATGACTTTGATTAAGTCCCTGCGAAACTGCCTCCGAAATTAGAAAACAGAATCACGATCTGACGCCAAACTCACCAAATTCCCTCAAAATTAAAAGCCCCAGCCCTGGCAGCTGCCTCCAAACCCTGTTTTTAGGTAGGGAATGCATCTCACCCGGGAGAACTGGCCTTTCTGCCCCCCTGCCAAAGCCCCACATATGAATTCAAGTTCCTTTTTGTGGGGAGGAAACGTCCCCGGTGGCAGTGTGGAGGCAGAGCTGGGCGTTTTGGCACCAAAACACATCCTGAGCCCTGCACCGTACCTGCCGCAGCCTCTCCATCTCCCGGTAGGGAAGGTGCTGAACGCTCAGTCTCTGATGGGACATTTTAGATTTGATTTTTCTTATTTCTTTTACTTCCAGGAAGAGCGCTTGGATTCCTGTCAAAACAGAGAGCACCTTCAGTTCCTGATTCCCAGGCAAACACTCCCAGCAATGTGGTTTTTAGCCCCGGGATGAGGCAGCGCATCCAGCTGCCTCCGTTCTTCCCGGAGAAGTGGAAACGCTCGCCCCAGGACCCACCTTTTGTGAAAGTCGCATACAGCACGTAGAAACGGGGGAATGTCCTTTCCAAAAACTTCTCGTACCTCCCATTGATTTGCTTTGCTTTTGACACCAGGGCGGTGAGGATGGACCTGGAGCTGGCTTTTGTGGAGAGGCAGCACACCAGGGACCTGCAGTCAAACACCCCCCACACCTCCCCGGGATTATTTCTGTCAGTGTTTTGGGGAAAAGGCTCTGAGGAAAGCAGGGGTTGGCCTGGAGAGGGGCAGGACGCTGGGCTGTGGGACTCCCAAAACGCCCAGAGAGGGGACAGAGTGCTGGGAACCCTCCCCACACCCCACACGGACA